GTGTTTTCTTCACCTGGGTGTACTGGCGTTTCCACTATATGTGTGAAAAGTCTTTTCAGCCTCTTGGCACTGCAGTAGCTTATTAGTGCATCTGTTGTGATCCTTCCCAGAAGGGCACAGAGAATCTGACTGGCACTACTGTGGCTGTCCATTTGCCACTTTGACAGAAATATTTGGGAGGTGGCAATACCTACACAAAATTCTTCTGCCCTTTGCAGGAGATTGCCTGATTTTGTACTCCACAGATGATGTTATTGAATATTTTTCACACTTAGATGCTCAGGATGCTGCTAGGGTTGAGTATAATTTTTTTCTGATACTTTCTCTGCAGATCCTGTCTTTAGGTGCTGGCTTTGACTCCTTATACTTCCGTTTGAAGGACATGGGTCTTCTGCATCACACTGTGGTATATGAGGTGGATTTTCCAAATGTGGCATGCCAAAAAGCTACTCTGATCAAAAGAATGAGAGAGTTGTCAGCGCTGGTGGGAGATATTGGAGAGGAAGGATTAGGTATGATATCTGTGGAAGGTTTTCTAGATACTAAATGTTTAGAAGAAACAAACATAGCTTCAGCCTTTAAAAAGTGAGATATGATGGTAGAGGAGCTACAAAGTTGTAGATAACAAGCATGTTCATTTTCTGAAAAATTTTGGAACAAATAAATAATTCGTAAACATTGGGAGATAAGAAGATGTGTAGCTGCAAGAGTGGATTTGTCAGGAGCAAATTACATCAAATCAAGTCCAGTTTCTTTCTGTTATAATTTCTGAACTACTGTGTCCAGCTTCGGGCCCACTAGTACAAAGGCAGTGGCAAACTGCAGCATGTCCAGTGAGAGGTCTTGATAAAGTGGAGCACATGACATAGGAGGGGGAGGCTGAGAGAACGGGTTTATTCAGCCTTAAGAGGAGGTTGGGAGGGAGGTGAGTCTTCTTCAACTACCTAATGGGAAAGCGTAGGAAAGATGGAGCCAGACTTTTCTTGGAGTCACGAAGCAAACAAGTCAGGGGCAATGGTTGCAAGTTGCAACAAAGGAAATTCCAGTTACGTGTAATGAAAAGGTTTTTTTTCTTTTCTGCCATGTGAGTAGTTAAAAACAGGAACAGATTGCCTAGAAAGGTGGTGGAATCTCCAGCCTTGGAGGTAGTTAGAGCTTGACTGGACAAAGCCTTGAGCAACCTGATACAGGTAGCTCTGCTGTGAGCAAGGAGTTGGGCTAGATGACCTTCAAAGGTCCCTTTCAACTTAAATTATACCGTGATCTGTGGCTTTATGGATAGGAGAGGAGGTGTGACTCTTAGCTGTCTTGGCTGTAAGAAAACATTAGTTGTTATGTTGGCTGACTTTTGTTTTCCTCTCCAAGGCAGGAAAAAATGAGCCTAACGAAACTGCTGTAGGATATAAGCACAGCTGAAAGGATTATTAGGCCGGCGAGATACTAAGGGGCAGTTCAGTGGCAAAATGGAGGAGTGTAAAATACGGGATTTACTGGAGGTTTCTCTTGCATCTGATTTCCTTCAAGGTTTCTGCTAATATTCTAGACAATATGCTATAGAAGGTGAAAATGTAATAAACCCGCAGGAAACCGGGAGAGTAGCAATATGGTGGATGAGAGTAGGATTTTGACAAAGTGTATTAATGGTCTGGAAAATGTGGAATGAAATACAGTAGAGACATACGTAAGCCACTATGTTTAGACTGTAATAATCAATTTAAACACAGATGGAAGACAGCTACAGAGCTAAGTGCAGACCTCAAGTCCCTGGCTCCCATCAGCAGTTGAACAAGTCTTAGCAAGTAGCTCTTCCATGAGCTTGTTCAGTTTCCTCTTTAATCCACTCACATTTTTAATATCGGCAGCATCCTGTGGCAGGGAATTCTGTCCATACCAATAATCTTCAAGTACTTCAACTAAAAAACAGATGTCAAAAAGACTTGGGAATACCCTATTCCCTGTGTCCAGAGGGCCAGAAGTGATGGATAGACAAGTTAGTTGTTAGAAGAAATTAACAGGGAACACTGGGATGGACTTCTGAAGAAGGCCATTTGGCCTCCAGTAATAGATACCTTTGAGAACAGTGTAGATTAACAGTTCTCAAGGCAGGTATAATTGTTGAATTGAGCTGGTACAGAGGCACAGAGTAAGTGATTTCTATAGGTATTTTACAGTTTGCTTTGTTTATGATTTGATTTGGATTGAAACAGGTCAGCAAGCTATATCTTATGATATTCTTGGGGAGTACAGAGGAATACCGTGATAGTGTTTGCAAATCATAAGTTGGAGCTTATTTCTGAGATCGGTGATGTGAGACTAGTCCTGGTGTTTGCAGAGAGCTAACGTGTGCTGGTTCAGGTTTCAGTGCCATTTTACAGAAATGAAATCTATTTAAAAAGCAAACAAACAAACAAACGCCAAAAAACTTGAGAATGGTTTTATGGTTGTGAGGCAAACCATTCAAATTAAATCAAAGCAACAGTACTTCTTAGCCTAAACTGAAAGGTCTATAAATGAGAGCCCTTGAGATTTGATTCTGAATTACAGTGGTTCTATAAAAATGTTGTTAAAGTAAATATGATAAAGTTTTGTTGTTATGGTAAATGTGATAATAAAATGGCATAAATCTGTAGGTGAATTTACATTAGGAATAATGGAATTTGAGATCTGCATTTAATGGATTGCTGCTTGACACTATCCCTTATGGTTCATTTAGCGATGGGGATTTTTTTGTACATGTGCCAAAGAAATTGAGCTGATGGACACAGCCTTGTGAGCAATTGCCTGTGGGGTTGATTTTCCTGTTTGTCCGTTTTGGTCTCAGTATTGCATCAGCACAGTAGTGAGGTTGTATCATTTTTTGTCTCCCAGGAGTCATTGCCTTTTCTGGAGAGGATTATAAATTACTGGGAGTGGATTTATCAGAGCTGTCTGAGCTGGAGAGAGCCCTGGAGGAAGCCGGACTGGACAATGAAATCCCCATCCTCTTCATAGCAGAGGTGGTGCTCACCTACATGGAAAACAGCAGGTCAGTTGAATTATTCTCTGTTAGCTAGGGGACAAAATGAAAAGAACAAGATTCTTTGTATGTTTGTCACCTGGGGCTGGGAGACCTGCTGTCTTAAAACTAAAGCCTCAGGAATTCTGTGGAAGTCCCAAGCAGCTCCTTGCATCATAATTGTGATGGGGTAATGGGCATCCACATGACATCCTAAAAGGGAGGGGGAAAAAAAGGAAGAAAAACTTCAAAGGAGTGATTCTGAGTTTTTTTTTCTCATCTCCTCCTGAATTCTCTGCACAAACGAGAGAGGAAATGTTCGTAAGTCCACAGCACAGGATTCTCTTTTGTGTATATACCACTTTCAGGATTCCTTAGTAGCATACTTTATGGTGTTGCAGGAAGATGTACTGCATCTGCCATATGATAGGTTGACCCTCGATCATTTAATTTTTTCTGCACGATCTGCCTGACAGGTCAGATGCATTGATTCAGTGGGCGGCAGAGCGTTTCTCTCAGGCATGCTTTCTGCTGTATGAGCAGATGCACCCAGAGGACCCCTTTGGACGTGTCATGCAGCAGCATTTTAGCCAGCTGAACTCTGCGCTTCGTTCTTTGGCACAGTACCCTGATTGTGAGGCACAGCAGAGGCGCTTTTTTGAAAAGGTAAGTAATTGCAGCTTTAGGGCACAGATGAAGCATGATATACCTGTGAAAGATTGTAGCATTAAATAATTTTGGAACTCATCAGCTGTGTCACTTATGAGTTGAAGTAGACAGCGCCAAGGTTGAAACACTGCCTTCTTTGGGAGCATGACTAGTCATTTGAAGGTCCTTCCAGCCAACTTGCAGCCTCCCTTCTGGGATGGGATTAAGGCAAGATGGGTTCCACTGAGACTTTTGATATAATAAATTAAGTTCTTAAGAGCTTTACAGGTAAGAGATCTATCATCACGAGATTCTGGGCTGCTGTTGTTCCAGCTAGATGGTCTTAAAGGCTCATGCAGGTGTTTAATTTAGAGTCTTTGTTTTCTTGTGGGAAGTGAGTCTCCCCCCTAATTTGAGGGATTTCTGTTTTAGGGCTGGACTGAGTGCAGTGTCATGGATATGAATGAGTTTTTCACCTGTTGTACTCCAGAAGATGAGCAGAAAAGAGTGCAGGCGCTGGAGCCTTTTGATGAATATGAGGTAACCCTCCTTTATTCTGAACACCAGTAACTTGACTTTGATGTGATAAGGTGTCTGCAATTATGACCTGTACAAGAGCTGCTGAGGCATCGGTGTTCATGTAGGCAGAAAGGATCTTGAATCAGGCTTAATTAATGCAGAGCCTGCAGGAAGCTCCTTGTCAAGCTTGGGCAAGTAGCATTGGAAGAAGACTCTCTTTGGCGTTAGAAAAGCTTCTTGTTCCTTTCTCAGTGAGTAGTCTCTCAGGGAGACAGTCTTAGCATAGCAAACTAACTGGTGGTATAAAAGATTTGTAGATGCTGAAAGTTTGCATGGGTTCAAGGTGCAATTATTTTAATGAAAGAGAAATCCATTGTGGATTACTGAATACATAAAAATACACCTGATGTGAGGTTCCCGACTGCAAATGGTTGGGAGCATTCCTGGGGGACGTAGATGGCACTTGTCCTGCTCTCTTACATTTCCATAGGCTATTACTGTTTGTCATACTGTTTGTCATCTTAGACGATGTCTAAGAGCAACTGACATCGTCTACCTGGACTTATCCAAAGCATTTAATACTGTCCCACACCACATCCTTGTCTCTAATCTGGAAAGACAAGGTTTTGATGGATGGACCACTCGGTGGATAAGGAATTGGCTGGATGGTCGCACTCAAAGAGTTGTGGTCAACGGTTCAATGTCCAAGTGGAGGCCAGTGAGGAGTGGTGTTCCTCAGGGGTCAGTACTGGGGCCAGTGCTATTTAACATCTTTGTTGGTGACATGGACAGTGGGATCAAGTGCACCCTCAGCAAGTTTACAGATGACACAAGTTGTGTGGTGTTGTGGACACGCTGGAGGGAAGGGATGCCATCCAGAGGGACCTGGACAGGCTGGAGAGATGGGCCTGTGAGAACCTAATGAAGTTCAACAAGGCCAAGTGCAAGGTCCTGCACGTGGGTCGGGGCAATCCCAAGCACATGTACAGGCTGGGTGGAGAATGGATTGAGAGCAGCTCTGAGGAGAAGGACTTGAGGGTGCTGGTTGATTGCTGGCTCAACATAAGCAATGTGCACTTGGAGCCCAGAAAGACAGCTGTATCCTAGGCTTCATCCAAAGCAGTTTGAGCAGCAGGTCGAGGGAGTTGATTCTGCCCCTCTGCTCTACTTTCCTGAGATGCCCCTGCAGTGCCGTGTTCAGCTCTGGAGTCCCCAACTCAAGAAGGACATGGAGCTGCTGGAGCGGGTCCAGAGGAGGCTACAAAAATGATGCGAGGGCTGGAGCATCTCTCCTCTGAGAACAGGCTGAGAGAGTTGGGGCTGTTCAGCCTGGAGAAGAGGAGGCTCCGGGGAGACCTTCCAGCACCTTCCAGTGCCTAAAGGGGCTACAGGAAAGCTGGAGAGGGGCTTTGGACAAGGGTGTGTAGTGACAGGACACGGGGCAATGGCTTTAAACTGAAAGAGGGGAGATTTTGATGGGATCTAAGGAAGAAATTCTTCCCTCTGAGGGTGGTGAGGCACTGGAACAGGTTGCCCAGAGGAGTGTGGATGCCTCATTCCTGGAGGTGTTTAAGGTCAGGTTGGATGGGGCTTTGGGCTACCTGGTGTAGTGGAGGGTGTCCCTGCCCATGGCAGGGGGGTTGGAACTAGATGATATTTGAGGTCCCTTCCAACACAAACCATTCTGTGATTCTATGATAAGTCAAAGACACTGAGTAACTTTGACATAAATATCCTGTAGGACACTTGCTAAAAGTTTCCCTTTTGATTTTGTGATTCTCTGTTTATAATTGTTAATAGAAATGTAACAGCTTGCAGTATGAAAACAATTTATTGTGCTTGCATTTATTTTGCCATCGTGCAGGATCTGCTCTGCTACATGAATGCAAAAGTGATGACTGAAAGATGCTGGCAGATTTGCAAAGTGGTGTAGAAATGTCTACAAGAATTATTGTAGATCAAGGCAATTGCTCATACAGTGAGAAAGTAAAGACTTTTTATCGTTTTCCTTAAAAAGGAGGCTAACGTGTATGCAAGTTCAAGCTGAGAAATGTGCATAGGAGGAAGATATGTGACAACGGAGAGCTCTACAATTAGCCTTTGAGATCAAGTAAGATCCAGGTGTTACGGAAACAAGCTTGATCGAATTAGATAAGAAATGTGAAACACACATAGTGCTAAGAGTAACTAATTTGTAGAATAATTTGCCAGGGGACAAATAGTGGATTCTTCATTTTCAAAAGATGCTTTTTACTTCTGGTAGAAGTTGGGGCCATGATGCTATCGTTGTGGTTTCTTGTGCCTTTTAAATTCATGTTTATGACTTCTAGTCATGTAGTTGGCTGAATATATCCCACCCCATGGGAATGAGCATACTCAATTCCCTAATGTCCGTAAAAGCCAGGGTGGACTCTGATATTGCAACTCAATTCCTTACAGTCCTCGTGCTTGTGCTTCTGCCTCTGAGTGATTCCAGGGCCAGACTGGAAATCATATTTATGTATTATCAGCTAACAGCGACCGTGTTGCACCTTTGAACATTTGTGATTTCTTTGGGATCACGTATATTCCGTGACCTTTAAGAAACCTTAATCCCTCTGGTATGCAGCCCTCACTCTTTTCTGTGATCAGAACTGGGAAACACAAAGGGAAGCTGATTCCAAGAAAAAAAAATGTTCCTCATGCAATGTGTAATTAAGCTATGGAACTCCTTGCCGCAGCATGTTACAGGTGATAAAAGTTTATGTGAGTTCAGAGATCAACTGGCTAGGCTCATGGATCAGAAATCCATCAAGGATTGTTCATCACAAAGGCACAGCTTCTTGCTTAGAAAATCTCCGAGCTGTAAATTTTTGAAGGTTGGAGTGAGGAAGGTATTTACACACTTGCTCTTTCTCAGGTTCAACTTTAGTCTTCTGATTTTGGCCACTGTTGGAAACAGTGCTAGGCTAGGTTGGTCTTCGATTTGATCACCCTGGCCATTCTGAGATCCGTGCTACTGCTTGCTCTAAGATTTTGAGGGGGATTGTTTGTTTTTGTTTTTTTTTTCTTTGGGCTTGCTACAGGAATGGCATCTGAAATGTTCCCATTACTTTGTCTTGACTGCATCAAAGGGGATGGAACCTTCCTGGACTCCATTGTTATCCAATATGACAGGTACATACTGACTAGTTTTTGTAGTATTCTCTTATCTCATGCAGGCTTCTCTGAGAGATTTTAGGAGACAGTAAAACTCTGGAGGAACAGATGGGATGCTGCCATCTGAGTAGCTTTCTCCATCCTTCTAACAATGGTTCTGCTGTCCATAGGGAAGCCAGGGCTATGTCCTGACTGGTGGTTCTGACCACTTTCATTCTTTCAGTTCATTGAACCTTCCAGTCTGAACAGCTTTTCCTCTGTTTATACGTGGAGCCCTTCAGTGCACAGCTGCACTGCCAGTCTACCCTGCTCCTTCTTGTATTTTTGGGATCCCACAGACTCTCCCTTTCCAATTTATTCCTGCTTGCCTCCATGTATGGCTCTCTGAGACATTCTATCCTTCCAGCTCCCAAAAGGTTGCTACGTTTTATTTACTGCACTATTTATTTATTGTCTAGCAGAGCGCTCAGGAGCGTGTCACAAAGTTTGTACTTTGTTTTGTTTTCTCCTGTGGGTGGAATCGTACATGTGGTATTTCTGCTTCTTGAGATGCTGTTAAATCTGTATGTTGCTTTTTTTAGATGGGAGAAAAGTGGTACAGCTGGGGAAAAGACGAGACCAAGACTGTGTTTCCATGATAAGAAGGACTTGGCAGCAGTAGCAGTCCAAGAAATTCTTGCGTTTGGCTGCTTGCTTCCTTTTTCACGGTGGAAAGCAGATTATTTTTAACCTGTTTCACATCACTAGTCTTGCTCACAGTATAGCACCAGAAGTAATTCTCTCTGCAATTGAAAGTAGAGATCTGTGTTCTAGGGATCAGGAAAAGCAGCTGGAAAAGAATAAGGCAGGATGCCATTCCTTAAGCCAACAGCACCACTGAATGCATTGCGTTGTGTCTTGATTAGATCTGAAAATGTGTAGTAAAATCAAAGCTAAATGAACGGGGGTGTGGTTAAATATACTGTGTGATTGTCCCTGATCCTTGTATTAAAACCTTAAAGGCTCCTAAAAGTGTAGGATCTATCCTTAAGTTAAAAAAAAATGACATTTGCTTAACCGACGTTCATACAGTGAAGGCACTTCATTCATTAGAGGCAGCAATAGAGTCTTTCTGCTGCTGCCTCTCTTGTATTCCAAACTGACAGCAAAAGCCTTCAAAGTCTGGTAAATTATCCGTGCTTAGATATGTTTTACTGGTCACGGCAAAAGGCATGTCTCAAATACCAGTATGTGCCCCCAACTATCATCTCAAATGGATTTGTGTCCCTGTTTGAGAGAGTCCAAGTACTAAACCTTCCAAACAGAGCATGATAAATATATTTTCTGAAATGAAGAACACCCTCAGTCTTAAAAAGAGCCATCTGTCAGAAGACATTTAAGCCCAAGGAGATGAAATTTTTGACTTCCTCAAACTATAGAAAGTAGGGTCTTTTACTAAACCACGTTCAGTTCAGGCAATTTTTCTGGGTATGGCATACAAAAAATAGACTGAGAGCTGTTTCTCCTCCACCTCGTCATATCTTATAACACAAGAATAAGGCACTTGGTTAAAACAAGGCAAATTCAAAACTAATTTAAAGAAAACAATTTGTACAGTGCGTAGGTGAGATAGAGTCCTGTGTTGAAAGCTCTTTTCATACTAAGGGATATAGTATTTAGAGAGACAATATTTAGGTAACTGAAATATTCTTTTGTAGTAGGGCCATTGGAATTAACAGAGATTATTCATCATGCTTTAGAACTTTATTTCAATGCTTTGTGAAGGTAGGACCAAAATCTAGCAAGAAACTTTGAAATCCAGCTTCCAGGTGTTTGTTCTTTTTCTGCTGTTCTTTGCTATTTAAGTAGCCAAATATTGTCTTCATCTGAAAGATGCTCCTTCTGAAGGAATTGCAGCGATTCTTGTCTTGCAGATAGGGAGTCACTGCAGTCTCTTAGCCAGTCTTACCTCTCTCTCCCCCAGTAAAGCAGTCGCAGAACTGTGTCAGGAGCTGAGGGAGCAGTAAGCAGAAGCTGAATGTTGTCCCAGTGGTAGTTTAAACCATTACAGTGTGATTTCTAGGGCACGTCAGATTGTCTGTGTGCTCTGTCAACTTGCTTCACAAGTTTTTTCTTCTTGAAAAGCTGAACAGATTTGCTTAATCTCTCGTTTAAAATGTAGTTCTTGGTTCTTGTTTGTGCACAAGTGTTGTCCCAAAACTTGGATTTGTCACCCGGTGTGCCACAAGCCAATCCACACACAGAGTGGAGGTATTTCCTTGTATTACATATATACGTATATATGGGTGCCTGTCCCAAGACAGCACACCCAGGCTCCAAATTGGTGGTTATATATAAACAAAGCATATTCACCCTCCTAATACATAGACGTTTTATTCTAGTAAATGATTGGTTAAATTCTTTTCTAGCATGTAAATTAGTACACATGCCTAGTCCTTCTTCTCTGGCCTTTCCTTTTGAGTCAGCGTGATTCTGTCCCTCTACTCTGCTCTCGTGAGACCCCACCCGGAATACTGCGTTCAGCTCTGGGGTCCCCAACACAAGAAGGACATGGAGCTGCTGGAGCGGGGCCAGAGGAGGCCACGAAGATGATCCGAGGGCTGGAGCACCTCTGCTCTGGAGACAGGCTGGGAGAGGTGGGGCTGTTCAGCCTGGAGAAGAGAAGGCTCCGGGGTGATCTTATTGCAGCCTTCCAGTACTTAAAGGGGGCCTACAGGAAAGCTGGAGAGGGGCTGCTTACAAGGGCGTGTAGTGATAGGACAAGGAGCAATGGCTTTAAATTGAAAGAGGGCAGATTTCGCTTAGATATGAGGAAGAAATTTTTCCCTCAGAGGGTGGTGAGGCACTGGAACAGGTTGTCCAGAGAAGGTGTAGATGCCCCATCCCTGGAAGCGTTCAAGGCCAGGTTGGATGGGGCTTTGGGCAACCTGGTGTAGTGAAGGGTGTCCCTGCCCATGGCAGGGGGGTTGTAACTAGACGATCTTTGAGGTCCCTTCCAACCCAAACTATTCTATGATTCTATGGTTCTATAACTGGGATAGATGGTCTGTGAGTTGGTGGTTGTGATCTCCCCCTGCTGGAATTAGTCTTCCCCTAGTTTCTTATTTCTTTGGCACGTTTAAGCAGTTCTTCATGGGTTGCTGATTAAACTAGAGATTCATCACTTGTTTGAAACTTCTGCTTCTGATAAATATATACAAAGGTACATTGTTTTAAGATCCTGGTGTTCTGCAATTTCCTTAAGTCTGGTAGAGTTAATTTC